GCCGGACATGGTGTTAGGCGATGGGCAGAGACTGGACCAGAGGGGCGGCTTGAGGCCGTGAATGGCCTCAGAGGACACGCTGAGGGGCTTGGGCTTTACCTTAGGGGCAAGAGAGACCCAGCAAGATGCACGAAGCAAGGAGTGACAGTGAGACATGTTATAGGAACACTTCTCACGGCAGTGGCGAGGGCACACGGGACACTGATGAGAAGGATGGAACCGCGTGGGTGGAAGGTGACAGCCGAGGGGCTACCCTGAGACGGTGTCGGTGCAGCTGGAAACGAGGAAGTAACCTGGGGGTTCTGAAGAGGGGGCAGAGCCAGGGCCCAGAGCACACGGGAGGGGTGCAAGCCACGGGCGGACGCTGGGGACGGCGAGGCCTCCGTGTGAAGACCAGGGAAAAGCCACAGGGGGAGAGGAAGGACGCTGGGTTCCTGTAAAACGGACCCTCGGCAAACTGTCAGGCAGACCCTGTGACACCTGTGCTTAGAACCTGCTCATGTCCTCTGTCTGTCAGAGTCACAGCCAACGTTCCCACCGTAGACGGAAAGTTCCTACCGTCAGGCCACTGCTGTCTGATCTCCTTCCACAGTCCCCACCCTCCCCCGGCTCCAGGGCCGTGGCCTTGGGGCTGTCTGTCCTCAACATACCTTCGAGGCTTTGCTGTTCCCTGTGCCCGGCACTCTCTTCCTGCAGGTACCCACACGGTTTGTTCCCGCGCCTCCATGAGGTCCCTGCTCGAGTGTCCCCTCCAGGCCTTCCGCATCCACCCTACTTGCAGCCCCCAGCCAGCGGCACTCCCTACCCGCTTACCCGCAGTAGTTACCTCCACTTGCCCTCTAACAGTTATTTTCCATGTGTTTTCTTTTACTTCTCTCTTTTTTTAAATTTCTACTCCCTTTCCCCCTCCCTGCCCCACAGAAATAAGCTCAAAGAAGACAGGAATCAGTCCTGACCAGGTAGCTCAGTTGGTAGAGAGTCTCCCAATACACCAAGGTTCTGGGTTCAGTGCCCAGTCAGCGCACAAACAAGCACCAACTGATGCTGCCTAAATAAGTGCATCAACAAACTGATGTTTCTCTCTCTCTCTCAAATACGTTTTAAAAAATATCCAGATATTAAGTAAAACAGTAAATTAGCAAAACTACATGAAAATTTTTAAAAAAGACAGGAATCTTTTGGTTTTTTTATAACTTTGTCTTTAGTACCGAAAACACTACCTGGCACAGAGTGGGGGAGCTAAATACATTTTTTAAATTAAGTAATTAATTATTATAGATCAGGTGCCGTTAGATGTACCTGCAAAACTTCCAGGTAGAGCTGCCTGGTGGACAGCTGGAATGGGAGTGCTGGAGGTCAGGAGGGAGAGCAGGGATGGAGACAGAGCTGTGGACTCACTGGATAAAAGCACAGACGTCCCAGGAGCACCAAGAGAAACGGGGAAGCAGTACTGCAGTTCTGAGTTCAGACCCGCAGCCAGCCAGCCTGGGCTCAAATCCTGGTCTTGACACTTCCCATTTATAAATCTTGAACATTTAAACCTCTCTGGGCCCCAGTTTCCTCATCCCTAAAATGGGGTTTTAATAACACCTGTCTTGGAGGTTGTGGTTAGATTTAAATGAGCAAATGCATGTAAAGCACTGAGAGCAGGGCCAGACCACCCGGCACAGGGAGAGGACACAGTAACTGAAAGCGAGGGGGAGACTGCAGAGAGTGGCATCCTCTCTGGAGTATGTTTCCTGACACGCATTCCTCGTGTCCCTGTGCTCCGTGGAGACCAACAGTGAGCGGTTCTCTCTGCTTGTCTGACTTGGACTTTGCTGTTGTCTGCTTTGCGTTGTTTGCTCTACGGTTCTTACCAAAGGAAACTAAAAACTCCTCTGAGTGTTTTGAATCTGAGCATGGTATGCTGGGAGGCACACAGGCTCAGCAAGAAGAGCGTGGGCCTTAGGGTCAGAGAAGTAAGGGCTTTTACTCCAGCTCTGCCGCTCAGAGAAGTAATGAGTCTCTCCTGGCTCCTCAAACAGCGAGGTCATGTCCACACCTCAAGCACCTCAAGCCCGAAAAAGAGCAGGTGCTGGGTATGAGCCTGTGGAAATGCCGCGGGCAGGTGTAAATGGCAGAGCCACACTGCGAGGGTCAGGAGACAGACCGTCAAGTCTTGTTTTTATGACTGGCGGCTGGACGGGCATTCCTGTGGCCAGAGCCTGTTTAAGGGACCCAATGGCAGGTCTAAATTTTCTGTGTATCATGTCATGAAACAGTATTTTCTCTTCACCTTCTAAGAGAACAGATTTACTTTCCCGGGGTTTTGTTGAAGCACTAAGCCTTCTTACAAGGTGCACTTACAGGGATTAGAGACTGGTATCAGGTTTGCTGGGTCTTGGAGAGCTGAAAGAAGCCTTGATCAAGAGAGGCCCTGATGGCTGTTCTGTTTGCATCTGGGTTCCCTTTGATCCCCGGTATATGGCTGGTTGGAGCACCATGGGCTGATAACCTCTGGTGTTTGATTCTACATGTACTACATTCACAACACAAAAGCTGAAATGGCTCGGCAGTTACTTTATAACAGAGTGTGTAACCACGTACCCGAAGGCTTGTATCTGGGAAAATATTAGTAAGGATTTAAGAATTCATTGCATTTTCTGTGTCTGCCTGCTTTAAGGGTACTCCCTAAAATTAATTTTTTTCCTGATTACAAAAGAATACATGGTCATGTAAGATCATCTGGAAAACTAGAAAAGCTCATAGGAGAAAGAAAACCCTACCAATTCTGGGGGATAACATTTCTGTATAAATCCTGCAGATCTTTCCAGATACCACCTCCCTGGAGAGGACTGCATGTGTGTGAAACCAAACTTCAGGTCATACTAAACATTATTACAGAGCTTGCTTTTTAAATGAACTAATGTGTGCATTCATTCAAGAAAACTAAATGAGCACCTACTAGGTGTCAGGCACTGTACATAGTACAGAGGATGAGGGAGACAAACATATATATATATATAAAATCGTTACGATAAACTGAGAGAAGTATTAACAAAGGTGCCCATGAAGTACTACAGGTACAGGCAACAGGGAGCAGAGCAGAGCCCACTCCCTGGGCTGCAGAGGTGTCAGGGAGGCATCCTGCAGGACGTGGCACATGAGTTGTTACAGACACCACACAAGCTCATCAAGGAAGGAAGGAGGAGGCACGTCAGCCGAGGGCGCAGCAGGGACGCCCAAACAATGCAGGTGCGCAGCTGGTGGGAGGACTGTCAGCACCCCGCGTGGGAGGCGTGAACGAGATGGGAGGTGCAGGGGCCCGGCAGTGAACAGCCACGGTGCGGTTGGAAGCAGGGGCTGACCCGCTCTGAGGTATGCCTTGGTTAGAAAATGCACTGCACACCGAAACTAATACAAAAGAATATGGAATGTAAACCGGGATTGAAAAACTAAATTAAAAGAGAAAACAGTGCAACTGGGAGCCCAGCTGGGCGTGGCTCAGCAGTTGAGCATCGACCTAGGATCCAGGAGATCGCGGTTCGATTCCCAGTCAGGGTACTTGCCTGGGCTGCGGGCTCGATCCCCAGTCGGGGGTGTGCAGGAGGCAGCCGATCAATGACGACTCTCTCATCATTGATGTTTCTCTCTCTCTCTCTCTCCCTCTCCCTTCCTCTCTCTGAAATCAATAAAGATATATTTTCAAAAAAAAGAAAGCAAGAAAGAGGGGCAAAGCAGAAAACCAGCGCAGCCATGAAAGGGCCCACCAGGTAAAAGAGAGAGGGTGTCTAATGAAAATGCAGATGAGAGACAGTGTCCAAGAGCTGACGGCGGCCTGGAAAAGGAGACATGGATTCCAGGGGGAGAAGCTCCTTGCCTCCTCTCCCCGCCACGGTCCTGAGAATCAGCTATAAAGGCGCATGCCGGCTGCTGCAGACACGAAGTCACGTGGCCCAATTCTCAGCCCCAGGAGCTCCTATCCTAGTAGGCAAGAGAGGGGAGACATATACCACTGCTGCTCACTTGCCCAGCATACTCTCCCCTCCTCCTTCAGAAGGAAACAGGTTCTCATTTGGGAAAACCATCCGTCTCTGACTCGGAGTCCATGCAGTTTGAGTGGGAATAATCATACTCCAACCCCACCTCAAGAGTGGGTACGTGGACTGGGCCAGGCAGACGAGGGCACCTTACTCCCCTGGACACAATGGCTGGTTCAGAGATGAGCATATGACTCTGGAAAGGCCAATGAGATCAACACCAGGAGAATCAAATAGAGCCAGGAAGAAAGAAATCAGGACCTTCTTCTAAGACCCCATGTGCTTAATACCACATGTCCCTGGCTGTCAGAGCCTCCTGTGCTACCAGGTGAAGGCCTCTCCAGCATGAAGTCACAGAGGAAAGCCCAGCCAAGAAACAGAGGCAAACAGTGATCAGATGGCATGTTTTGAGAAGCTGGATTCAGCCAGCTACTCCTAGACATCCCAGGTAAGTCAGTCAATAAATTCCCTTTTTTCCATAATGAGTTTCTCTGAGTTTTTGTCACTTATAATTGAAAGAATGCTGACTAATTCAGGGAGAGAGAGAGAGACGCAGAACCCTGTAACTGCAATACAATGTGACAGGCACAATAGAGGTGTTCGCAAGGTTCGGGTAGCACAGAGGAAAGGGCAGTCTGCTCTGCGTGTAGGGAAGGTAAGTCGAGACAATTTTCACAGGGGAGGTGGTGTGTCAGTGAAGCCTCGAAGGGTTAGCCATCTGGCAACAGGATATTCTATGCAGAAGAAACAACGAGCAGAGGCAAGGAAGTAGGAGAAACCAGCCGCTGCACTAACGCACCAAGTTCACAGCAGAAAGCAGGTGGTGAAGGAAGTGACATCGCCTGCGGGTGATGAGGAGTCACAAGACGGGCACATCAGACCATTCGCTTCTCATTTAACCTCTCCAGACTGCAGTTAAAAGCTCAGGTATATCAGAACAAACCACTAGTAACTGACAAAGGTATGAAAAGGCCTTACCTGCTGGTAGAATTCATCATCTTTGGGGGTCAGGTAAGGAAGCCAAGTGTCTTCAAGCTCCTCAAGGAGCCTCAGCTTCTGTTCAAAAATAATAATATGTACAGGTGACTGACTAGAAAGTGACCCAAAATATAAGACAATCCCTTATATTTCCAACAAGAGAGAGAATCCCCCCAAAATTCAGCCAACTTGAATGTCTAAACTTTCAGAAATTCATCAAATGCCAATTATAAAATGTAGTAATGTAATAACACACATTTAAATTACATATTGCATAAAGCATTAATTCATAAATAATGACTTTATTCACTGTCACATTTCATAAAACAGTGTAATGAACTCCTGACATGTATCTTTAACATCAGGGTCCTTTTATCACTAGAGTTTCCTTTTGAGTCGTCAGATATTTTTCCAGAGCAAGTCTTCCTGTGTGTAATCCTCCGGAGACATGGCAGCTTTCGGGCCCTCCCACAGTCCACCACTGGAAATACCCAACCAAACAACAAGTACCCGTGTGCAAACATCGGGACGTGTGGAATGGTTACTCATCCTATAAACTTTCATTCGGTATCATATCCGCTTACATGATTACTTTTTAAAATTCATCTTTCACCTCAAGAATAATTATTAAATCCATGTTAAGCATCTTCGCTTCTTTGCCTTTCCAATTGTATGAAGCAATCTTTTCAAGCAGCTATGGCTCGGGCTGTCTGAAGCCGTTTCAGGGCGCTGCGCCTTCCTGGATCCGGGCTTCCCCCCTTCCCAAAAGCTCACATCACATCACTTCACTGCCACAAAGACCTACATTAGCACCTGTTTTCGCCAACCAAAACAGGCCCAAAGAGAGTTTTTGCTTTTACCAAATAAAAGAAAAGTGAAATTGCTCAGCATCTGCTTTGCAGGGAAAGTGGCCTGTCTACCTCCTTCCCCAGGAACCACACTCGGCATCTCAGCACCAGGCCGCCTTAGCCTTGAACTTCCTGTGAGCGTCCTTGCTTTATCTCGACTCACTCTGCATCCGACAGCAAGATGTGCCCAGGGTACCGGAAAGGCCTAAGAGTCGTCGAAGGGTGTTATGCTCTGCACACAACTGGACGTAGAGAGCATTTTGATGTTGGTGAACAAAATAATGACCTTGTGTGTGCCTTGAGCTTGCCTGTGTCCACCATCTGTACTATGTACATGCAGAGAGAAAGAATCTAGAAAACTGCCAAAGTGACGAATGGTTCTGCTAGTAGCAAAGTGGTCCCTTAGACGGCACCCAGTAATGGGTAACACAGAAAGTCTGTTGCTTGAGTGGATTGATGGCTGTGCAAAGCATAGCATCCTGTTATCTTTTATTTAAGGAGAAATCAGTCTTTTTAGTACGTGACTGCACTGTCCTTACATTATTTCTACTGTCTAAAGGCTAAGGTATTTACCGTATCATTTCCCCTTTCACTATATGCTAGGGTTATTTTGGGTTTTGTGTATTATTTGGTATGATTTGGTCGGTTATTTTTTGGGTATGGGAATGCTCAAAAATGTTTCCATATAAATTAATGTAATCGCTTCTTCACCTTTCAGCACCTCTTATGAAAGGTTTCATGGGAACACACTTCTTTTGGACAGCGGGGCAAACCTGCAGTACCACACTGTTCAACCAAGTAAGAGGGGACCAGGTGTTACAAAGTACTTTCTAAAGAATCAAACACATATAGGGTGACACCATCCTTCCAAGGGATTATTTTTCAAAGAATATCTGACCTTATATTCAAATATATATGGTGTGTGTATGTACATGGTATATAAATGCTGTATGTGTGTTTACACAGACACATATACACATAGAAATTATCTATACACCATAAAAATTTTCTGAATGAAAAAAACCAGAAGTGGCAGAAACAACTGATTTTCAAATGAAATTGTAATAAAATGCATAGTCAGGCTGTTGCTGGCCGCTGAGGCACGGTTATAAGAATTAGAAAGCGGCGCTCCTCGCCCTGGGTCAATGCAGCCCTGCTCCACAGCGCATGGTTGCTCGGTGAACACAAACTGGATTTATCCCCCACTTCAATGACATTCAAGGAGCAATGTCATTATGTAGTGACCAACCTGCTAAAGCAGACATGGGAGCCCTGGGTGTTAGCCTCCCCACCCTAGGAAAGCAGCCTCCCCACAAAACCATCACAAAGCAGCCCAGAGCAAGCTTTGGGCACAACTCAAACTCTTTCTGGGTCTTTTGTACAATCATCCACAGCAAATACAGAAAAAGGGGAATACAAATACAGCCACCAGTTGACCTAAGAGAGACAAAACAATACATTCTACTCTTATGCAGTATCCTAGTCTGCTTATTGAATGAAAGCTTTCTGCTTTGACTGCAGGTATTTCCTCTATAATAAGAATGGCTCACCAGTTAAACTACAGTTTCCCTTTATGAAGGACCAATACTACCAACACCAGCCATTCGTGCAGATAAATCATCGGGTAAGTGGCTTATCTGTCTTCAACATTAGCCATTATTTGGAGCACAGAAAGAACTCATGATATTTCCACAATTTTATTTGCACATTTCTCCACTCCATCATGGGCTTAATCAAAATCTGTACCTCAATTTTCACTTCAAGCTCAAGAAAGCCTACATTTTCCTATGAATCTTCACCAGTCCTTTTTGTAGATAAAATATTTAAATGCCCCCTAAAAAACTGTAACCCATTGTTAAAAGCCTTGAATAATTAAATGTGACCTCCAACCTTGAAATGCCTCCACCTTAGAAGTAAGATCTCTTCTGGAGAGTCCACGAAATTACTCTGTGTATAAGAAGGAACACAAAGGTGGAGACCCATAAGGAATCACATACGACACCTTAATCCGATCGAACAGCAACAGGCCTGTCCCATAGACCAACAAGCACCAGTGGAAGTTGAAAGTCTGTGCATAATTAATACTTCAGCCAAAGTATCGTGAAAACGACCACTTCTCAGCTCAGTGGAGGCCCATGTATCAGATGGATATAAAACATTAGAATTTGGAAGGCTGCACTGAAAGGATCAAATTCTACAAGAATGTTCCTACGCTAGAGAGAGCGGAATATAAATGGCCTCCTGCCCCTGGGAATCTGAATGTTAACACTGCGAGCATTTTATACCCATGTGACAAGAGAGAACAGGGGTCAGGAATTCACTCAACCTGAGACCACACAGGTGAAATCTGCTCTGTGCATCAACATCCAGTTTTACCAAGTAATTAGCAAGGTCAATTATAGATGACAACAGTTATCCATTTAAAAAGAACTTTTGGTCCTATTTACTTTGGTGAAATCAATCAGGAATCAACAGGAGATGACACTGGTAGTCCGTGAACATCATACGTTTCTTAAAATCAAGGTTGATTTATAAAAAGGCAAAGTCACTCGGGCACAGCTATGGTGAAACCAGCCCTCTCATACTCAGAGCACAAAATCATACAATTCCCATCAAAATTTAAGTGCAGTTTCCCCTTGCCCCAGAAATTCAACTTCTGAGGATTTTTTCTACAGATACTGTACAGTGCTCAGAAGAATGTAGGCACAAGTTTACTCACTGGATTGCTATTTGTAGAACAAAAGCTTGGAAACATACTAAAAACCACTTAAGTGGACACTTTAAAAGACTGGATTTTATGGCATGTGAATTATACGGTAACTCAACAAAAATATGAGAAAGCAATCCAGTGTCCGTCCACAGAGGATGGTTAAATAAACCACGTGCATCTGCGCGATCAAATACAGAGCAACAGGAGACCAGGGCAAGGGGGCTCCCGGCAGAGGAGGGAAAGCCCTCCGGGGCTTACTGGGGTGTAAGGCAAGGGGCAGAGCCCCCGCTTGGTCTGCGTACAGAAACACAAAGGACAGCGGCAAACTGTTCAAGCGGTGATCTTGGGGTGGAGGTGGGAAAGACTAGAGGGGACAGGGGTGGGACAAGACCATCCAAAACAGTATTCCATTTTACATTGCTTCGATTTTGAGCTCAGCAAACATACTACCTATTCAACACATTACCTACTAGCAACTTGAATGTTTTACGCATTAATTGTTAACATGAAATGCAATACAAAGATGAAGATGACGTGATTTTTGGCTTAGTTTTAGAAAGCCCATACTTTTGTGATGTACAATGAAATATTGCGGGGGGAACCAGCGCAGGCTTACAGAGTAAAGAGGGGGAAAGAAAACAGCTCTGACAATTTCTGAGTCAAATGCCAACCCGCTGGCACACACACAGCGTGAAAGGCGCTCCAGCGCAGAGGCAGAAGGCACTCATGTTTGACTGTGCGAGCTGGCTCCTCGGCCAGTGTAGACAAATCCACACAGCTGGCCCTGCAGCACACTGCTCTGCTCACACGTCCTTGCTGTCACACTCGTGTCGAATACATCAAGCTGCTCACAAATGCCACACGAAAAGCCAGAGAGGGTGCAAAGCCTCGGATCTCCCACCCGGCAGGAAGAGCATTTGCAGACCCTTCCGTGAGGACTGGGTCCATTTCCACAGCTCCAGCAGGCAAGCGGGACACGGGCCCAAGACAGGAAGTAAAGCAAACGAACTGTGTGAGGTGACGAAGGTGTTAACTAAGCCTACTGTAGTAATCATTTCCCAATACATACATGTATCGAAGCATCAGGTTTTACACCTGAAACTTATAAAATGCTATGTGTCAATTATATCTCAGTAAAGCCCAGGGGGGTGTTCTCTAACAAAATGAAATTAAATTGAATATCGATAAGAGAAATATATTTTGAAACTCCCCAAGTATTTGGAAACTAAATGATCTGTTTCTAAATAACCCATTGGTCAAAGGAGAAACAAAACAAGAAATTAGAAAGTTTTAAATTGAATAAATATTAAAATAAACATTAAAAAGTTTCTAGGTTGCAGCTACAGCAATATTTACAGGGAAATTTATAACACTAATGCCTATATTAAAAAGAAAAGTGATCTCAAACAAATGACCGCAGCTTCCACCTGGAGAAAACGAAAAAAGAAGAGCAAATGAAACCCAAAATAAGCAGATGAAAAAAAATTATAGCCTAGCTGGGCGTGGCTCAGCGGTTGAGC